ATTCCATGGAACGTGGAGGCCTCTAGGTTGGGATCAAAGTCCAGGAACACCTTCTTACTGCAATCGTAGGCCTTGGCCTGAACCGAACCCTGAGTCGAAGACGGAGCACAGCGGGCGAGGATACTCTGGACAGCTTCACGGAGCGTTCTCTCCATCAGCGGCCGTGGAAATCCAAGAACCACAAGACGCGAGGGGTTGCCCACTAGCCCAGAGTCGACCTTCCGACGGACTTGCCTTTCTTCGTCCCCACGAGGTGTCGGGGCCCCTAGCTCGACGACTTTCTGAAGGTCCTGGATCTCGTCGCGCATAGTCTGGATCGTTCCTTTGACCTCATCACGGATGGCGGATTATGCGGCCTCGCGGTCCTGAATGCACTGAAGGAGAGCCTGTTCGTGGATCGCGCGCATCTGCTCGAAATTGGCTGCCGTCTGTTTTGCCAGTTCCGCGTGCGCCTGCTGCAATGTCTGGAAGTTCTTGTCAGCGGCGATCATCTGACCCTGGATTCCCGAAAGCTGTTGGTTTATCTCCTGCGCGCCGAAATTCAACTGACTGGACAGGCTGGCGACCGACGACGACAGAGGAAGAATCATATCACGCATGGCTGCGAAGATCTTCTCGGCGCCCCTCTTACCCTCCGTGGACATACCTCCATGCGCCGCCGGGGGGGTACTCATCCCTCCAGGGGAGGCGGGAGGAGTGGATGTGAGAGATACTGGCCAGGACTCGCTGACCTCGGACGGCATAGCGTGGAGGGGAGGAGGGCGCGGCAGCGGCGGGCCGAGGGAGAGCGGCCCCGCGGGGCCAGGGGAGCGCGCCCGCTCCCGGCCCTGGTGCCTGGCCACCAGGCGCCTTGAGCCAAAAGGCTTGGGCCAAAATGGCTTGAGCCAAAATGGCTACGGCAAAGTGCCACTGATGTTGATGAGGGCGAGGATGGTGGTGGTGATGATCATCAGCATCATCAGCATGATAATGGCGATGATGATGGCTCCCCCAAGGGGCACATGACGGCGCCCACGACAATCGATCAACACCGGATCCTTCCGCAGTCAACTATGCAGCGCAAGAACTTAGCACTGGTGCGTAAACTCCGTTTCTGAATGGGATACGGGAAAGCAGATAATAAGCCGAGCACGCAACCAGGCACGACCACTCCCGACGGCCCCTGGGCGGAAAAGAGAGAGAGAGAGAGAGAGAGAGAGAGAGAGAGAGAGAGAGAGAAAAAAAAAAGAGAGAGAGAGAGAGAGAGAGAGAGAGAGAGAAAGAGAAAGAGAAAGAAAGAGAAAGAGAAAGAGAAGAGAGAGAAAGAGAAAGAGAGAGAGAAGAGAGAGAGAGAGAGAGAGAGAGAAAGAAGAGAAAAGAGAGAGAGAGAGAGAGAGAGAGAGAGAGAGAGAGAGAGAGAGAGAGAGAGAGAGGAGAGAGAGAGAGAGAGAGAGAGAGAGAGAGGAGAGAGAGAGAGAGAAGAGAAAGAGAAAGAGAGAGAGAGAGAGAGAGAGAGAGAGAGAGAGAGAGAAAGAGAGAGAGAGAGAAGAGAGAGAGAGAGAGAAAGAGAGAGAGAGAGGAAGAGAGAGAGAGAGAGAGAGAGAGAGAGAGAGAGAGAGGGCCGCGCAGCGGCCCTGGCACCTCATCGGCGCGCGCCTTGCCGCCGCCGTGAGCCCCCACTGCCATGGAACAGAAGGCGATGCCCAGTGCCGCGCGCTGCCGCGACGTGTGCTGGCGCAGCCCGATGAACACCTCGCGCCGCTCCGTCGCCGCGCTGGACGAAGCGACCGGCGCGGCGAGGGGGTCGACGGTCGACGCGCGGCCCTGACGTGGCGGCAAGGTCGCGGGCGGCCGCCGCGCGGTAGGTGGGCGTCGACAGTGCGTCGGCCGTTGTCGCCAACCTGGGACCCTTCCTGCCCGCCCCCGGGGGTGGCCTCCCTGGCGGGGCAAGGGGGGCCTGGGTTCTCCAATTCCGCCCTGGCGCTGCCAGCGGCCAGGGCGTCGAAAAAGGCCTGGTCGCGCAGGGCGCCGTGGCGTTTGGCCCGGTCGCCGCGGCAGGCGCAAACAAAGGCGCGGTCGCAAAAGACGTCCATCACCACCTCGCCACGGGCTGGGCAAAAGCACTCCTCCTGCAGGAACTGGACTTGCAGCCGCCTCTGCAGGCCGACCTGCACGAGGCCGCGCGGGAACGCGGCGCCGGTGGGCTCGCCGGGCGGCGCTTGGAGCCACGCGGCAGCGCCCGGGGCCTGTGCCAGGGAGAGATGCGCCCTACCGGCCGGGGTGGCGCCCGCCAGATGCTCGTCGAGCGCGGCGCTGTCCACCGAGCCGGAAGAGGCTTCCTGGTAGCCGATATGCGCTTGGTCGAACGACGCATGGTCGGCGTCCAGCATGACTGCGTTGCAGGCCTGCGCCGCGGCCGACAGGCGACCCCCATCGCTGTCACCGCTGTTGGAGTAGCCAGGGTAGCGTTGCCGACAGAGGTCGGTGCTCTTCGCTGTGGAACCGATGTAGGTGGCGGCGTGCTTCGCGGCAGAGCGCAGTCCAAATCCTCCCTTGTTGGGCTGAGCTGAGCCTGCTGCCAGGAGGCGTCGGAAGGCGAGCAGCCACTCAGTTGCTCAAGGCAGGCCCGGACAGCGTCGTCCATGGCCAGCAGGGAGGTGGCATGCGCGGTGGGCAGCACCGTGCGTTCGGAGTAGGGCAACTTGCAGAAGGAGGCGCGCTGGCGCAGAAGGTGCAGCGCGAACTGTGCGTTTTGGAGCTCCCACAGAGCTTCCAGCAGCGCAGCGGCGCTCGAGACCCGTTTCTTGGCGCGCTCCGCGCAAGAGTCCCCGTTTCCCACTGGCGAGCCGAGCAGCTCGAAGCTGCGACTGGTGCGGAAGCGGAAGCCTGGCGGGAATCTGCCCAAAGACACGTTGGGGGCGTCTCCGCCAGCGGGGACCACCTCGCACTTGCCCTGGCCGGTGCTCAGCTGGAGGCACACCGCGGCGAGGTTGGCCACGAACAAAATGGAGGAGGTGCGCGACGGCCAGCATGTCGCCCGCGAGGCTGCCGTCGTCCAGGCAGAAGAAGCTTCAGTCGCCGGCGCCGTCGGCGCCGTGGCGCGGCGCGCGGAAGGAGGCCTCGGCGGCGCACTGTAAATCTAGGGGGAACAGCAAGGGCCCGAGGGGGCCCCTGTGCTGCGCCCCGCTCTCGGAGCGGACGGTCTGCGTGCCCACGAAGAGAGCTGACGGGCGGCAGTAACATCAATTGGCCCAGGGTTCCAGCCAGAAAACTCTTCGTGGACCACGCGGAACAGAGCTTGCCTGTCCATGGTGTTGTGTTGAAGGCGCTGAACAAGTCCAGTTTCACAAACACCTTCCCCTGATCCCCGAGGTGGCGGGTCGACCACTGGCGCGCGACGTGCACCGCCGCCTCGGTGCCGCCAGGGACGGCGTCGCGCCAGTCGGTCGCGCGCGGCGTCGGCTATCTCGTCGCAGAGGCACTCGCCGACGACGCGCCGGAGCACCTTCCCGACGGCGACCGGGCGCAGGTCCCCGCTCTGCTTCGGCAGGGCCACCATGGGAGGCGCCCGCGAAATACTCGGACACGGCCGGTGGGGCTTGCCCTATGGCGCAGATGTTCACAGAAACGATGACACCGTGGCAGCAAGATGAACGGTCGCAGGCCGGGTGGCCGGGCGAGGGCTGCGGGATCTCCCTCTCGGAGCCCCGCCGCGTCGACGCCTACTCCCAGGGGCGACGAAGCTCGCCGCCGTCGCCAGGCTCTACGAATCGATAACTTGGAAAACCAAGCGGGTCTGCGTTGGGATCGTCATGGGCGTGTTGACACGTCTTGGAAACTTCCTGGTTGGGGCGGTGCTGGGTTGTCTCGAAATCGCGTTGGGGGCCGTCGTGGGGATTCTCTAGGATGCCTCGTGAACAGCTGGGGCGCCATTCTCGGGTGGCCTCGGGGGGCTGGGAGCCTCTTGTTGGATCCCCCTGGTCTCTCGTGCTTGGCCGTCTGGTTGAGTCCCTGTGAGGATCCAAAAACAACGTGGGGCGCCACAAGGACTTTGGTTACGCCCCCTGTGGGTGACTTTGGGCACTGTGGTACATTTCCCCGAATCAGAACGCAGAAGCGATACATGACTGGAGAGACAGCTGACGAAAACCAGGACAAGAGAAGACAAGACATGTCAGCAAGACGACGATGCAACAATGAGTTTCGCAGCATGGTGCCTCCAGAGGAGGGTCAGCAGGCATCTACGTAGGTAGGTGGAGAAGCCGCATCCAGTCTGGTCGCGGCATATTGAAGGAGTGGTCCAGGTATCCATACTGAAGAATCAAATATGTCTGGGAAAGTAGAGAGGCCCCCATCTCCAATTACTTGGGCATGAAGCGTACAGTTACTGCCAACACCTGGCCTCTCCCTGTCGAACGAAGCGAACCATGTGCCAAATTCGATCGAACGGCGGAAGGATTGACATCAAACCATGCGCAAGGTATTGCTTCGAGATTGCACCGACTGAGGCGGGTGCTACGTTGCCTCCAGCTGCATTGAAAGCTGTCTGGAAGGCCAGCACCTCAGAGAGCAGGTGCCCACTGTAACTCGCTATCTCTCTCTCTGCCTCCCTATCTCTCTCTCTATTTCTCTCTCTCCCCCTCTCCCTCTATCTCGCTCTATCTCTCTCTGTCGCTCTAGTTCAACCTGTCAGTCCATGCCCCAGACTTACTCGCGAGGCAGACGTCTGGTAAACCCATTCCCGCATCAATGCGTCTGCGCACTATCAGAATTTGCCTCAACGCAACCCCATCAAAAAATGCTACTTCACTTCGGTCGGTGTGACCGGCAACTACCAGTCATGACTTTGAACGCACATCCAAAGTGCGAAGGTCCCGTCGGGACACAAGCTAAGAGCCGACGGACTTCGTGACACCGACGCCCCCAAAGAACACACAAGCTCAAAGGAGAGCGCCGCCGCAGTCCAAGACATGCATCCGAAAACACTTGAGGGCCGTCGTGCAGGACCGTTCCGGGAGGGGCTTTGATGTCTCGCAAACGTCAAGTCCGATGGGGGGCCCCTCTGGAACGCGCGAACAGTGTTGAAGGGGAACAAGAGAGAGAGCAAGTCGCAAACACACTCAAGTCGACGGGGGGCCACCGCTAGCGCCAACTGCTACCTATCAAACCACTCGTAAGGGCCCCGATTAAGCAGACAGACGAGGGAGAAGGCAACATATTCCTTGTTTGGGATGACTTGCCCCTGGCGACTCGTCGGCATGGCTTGCATGACAATTTCTAATTCTTTCGGGGCCATCTGAGGGTCAGCCCGAGGCAAGGTTACTAATCGCCGCCGACGAACCAACAGCCAGGACTGCGAGCGACAGCAGGAAAATGAGAGCGTGTAGAGCAGTGCGGGAGTAGCTTGTGGAAGGGAATGTCAAATGGTGCAGGACGAGAGGCAGCATGAACACTAGGAAATTGGAGGTCAGAGACCCCAGCAAAGATACGATGTCCTCGAAGGATGGGAACTGGTATGCCGCGTAGACGACGGCGCAGACCAGCGCAACTCGCAACGACCTTGAGTGTGCGCCAGCGAGCGTCGAGTCCTCGATAAATTTGGCCGCTGGAAGGAGCACCACTGGCAACGCCGCTACGAAATGCAGAGTCAGTCCACATACGGCTGCCGTGCGTAGCAATGATGCATCGAGGCTGTCCAGTATGTACGCCTCCACGAGGTAGCCACGCACCCGCCAGCTCGTCGCGACTACCGTCCAAAAGCCCGCCACCATCAGCAGGAAACCTGTCTCGAGCACGCCAGAGAAGCCCGATGGATCGAGCATGTTGCCTTGCACGCTGGGGAATACCGGATGGCCCCCGTACGCCAGAATGGACGTGGAGATTCCAGTCAAGCAATGCGAGGTCCGGAACTCAGGATGCTGGACGCGCCCGCCTTGCGACGGCCCGCCTGGAGCTGGAGCAACCACGATCAGCACGCCCACCAAGAGCACTGACAGAAAACCGACCAGCGAGGACCCGCTGACGTGCGCCAGGTCGGGGCCCAGGGAAATAAGGAAGGCCGCGCACAGGCCCACCAACGGATACCACTGCCAGCTCGGAGCCTCCGCCTGGCCGGTGGAGCCCTCGCGCAAGAGCAACAGGTCCAGATTCTTGCAAATCGTGAGCACATAGAGCAGAGCGATGCCCGTCTGGTTGACGGCCAGCATCCACCCAGTGCACCACCACAACCAAGACTTGTCCCTCGACATACCACAAGCCTCGCATAATGACTCGTAAGTGCGGACCTCCTTGCCCAACCGCCAGAAGTGGAGCTGCACTCGGTGCAGCAACCTAGCCATGTAGAAGCTGAGGGCCCCCGCACCCAGGAGAGGTATCCAGAACCAGCTCCCCGCGAACAACAACGCATGGGGCAACGCCAGCATACCCGCCCCAACAGTGAAGCACAGCATGTTCCACAACGCCTCCGAGCGCGAAGAACCGGCTCGCGGCGCAGGAGCCATCGCGGCAGCGCGGAGTGGGATCAGCAAACCACCTCTGGCTACCTCCGTCTGAGCCTTGTCAAGACTCTCCGTGCTCAGCGGAAGCGCCTCTGGCCCTCGCGCTAATCCGCAAGCAGTTGCAACGGAGGCGGTGCCACCAACCGTCCAATCGACCCCTGATAATCCTGAGCGAAATTACATGGACCAAAATAGCTTCAGCCCGAGTACCTTGAGACAAAACTAGACGGGGAAGGAGGGAGACAAGTACGGCCGATGAACAACATCCAACAAGAAATCAGCCAGGCTGGCCATTAAATCGCAGGTGCGTGGCTTCCGGCCAAGACACAATCGCGAAGCGACCATTTTCATTCTAATGCAACTGGGCGACAATGAAACTCTGTCACAATGATTCGATCCTGCTGCAATTATCACGTGGGGTGCAAGCAGAGAGCATGCTAGGCAGGCAAGATGCAAACTGGACTGCTGTGCAATTGTAACCACAACTAAAAAGACATATGTCAGTAAGCGTGGATACCAAGCAGTGGATGATTTCATTGTGGGGAAGGAGCTTGGGTACGAACTACGTGGAGTGAGCTCTGTACGCAGTCTAAGCCATGGTGTGTAGGCTATGTCGTGTGGACTATATGGTGCGAGCTAGATTGTGCAAGCTATGTGGTGTGAGCTGTGGTGAAAGCTCGGCAATGTAGCAGATGAGATGTGATAGGAGCAGTGTTGTGTATGCTGTTGTGTGAGCTATATGGTGAGAGCTATGCGTTGCACGCTATGTGGTGCAAGTGCAAGTTCTGTGGTGCAAACTGTGGTGTGCAGACTATCTTGTGCAAACGCATGGGGCACCCACGGGGCGCCCGTGTGCGGGCACTGGTGCAAAAGCGGTGAATTCTCGGGGATCCCGCCCAACGCACGGGGCACCCACGGGCGGGCACAGGCGCCAACGCCGTAAATTCTCGGCGAGCCCACCCAGCGCATGGGGCGCCCACGAGGGGCCCACGAGCGGGCACGGGCGCCAACGCGGCAAATCCTCGGGAAAGCAGCCCAGAGAACGGGGCGCCCACGAGCGGGCACGGGCGCCAACGCGGCGGATCCTTGGGAAACCTACCCAACGCACGGTGCGCCCACGTGACGCCCACGAGCGGTCACGGGCGCCAACGTGGCGAAAATCAGCAAAACATGAAGCCCCAAGAGTGCCCCCATAGGCTCCCAAGATGCCACCTCCTCCTCCTCCTCCTCCTCCTCCTCCTCCTCCTGCTCCTCCCTCCTCATCCGCCTCCTCCTGATCTTCCCCGCCATCCTCCCCCAAATGTTCCCCGAAGGGTTTCCACAACGGTTGGGGGAACACATGGTCCGATAGCTTGGCAGAGCCCTTGCCACAACGCTCGGCCACATGGGCGATTCTAGAAGGCAGGGGGCGGCGGTGATTCGCCGCAGGCGTCTTCGATTATGCCGACGTCGCAATATACGCTGATGATTTCTATCCGCCCCCGCATGATGTTCCCAGACGCGCCAAGGCAGCGCCGAGACGCACCGACGCGACTCTCGTATATCTCATTATGATAGACAAGGGGCTGGCGGCAGGGGGCGAAACCCTTACAGATATCGGAAGGCTGAAATCGAGGCCCAAAACAATTGCGAGCCTCATTTTTTAACCAAATCCAACCAGAACAAAGGAGTGAGTCTCACCTCTGGATCTGCGAAAACTGAAGCCAAGCCAGTGCACTCGGCCCGCCCTGTGGAGATTCTGGCGAGAAAAGTATTTGACTTGACATCGAACCAGGGCACCAGAACGAGTCTCATTCCTGAATGCGTGAAGGCAAACATCAAGCAAGAGCACCCGGCCCGCCCTGTGGCGATTCAGGCGAAACGAATTGTTGAAGTGAAACCAAAACAAACAAACACCATAGGGAGTCCCATCCTGGGCCAAATCGAAGGAAAACATGATACGCCTGGGACAAATCGAACCACGAGGAGACCGGAGTCAGTTTCATTTTTGGATACGCGAACACTGAAAACAAACCGAAACGCAACAGTGAGTCGATTCCGGGCAGGCGCCGGACTGGTGAGACGCCCCCCCGTCCCCTTATGCATATAGTCAACAGACATCGAGCCAGAACACAATCGTGAGTCTCATTTCTAAACCAAATCAAGCCAGAAAGCCATAGTGTGTCTCATTTCTGGATCTGGGAAGGCTGAAGTCGAGCCAGAACGGGGTAATAAACGTCAGTTTTGGCCCAAAACGAGCCAAAACACCGTCTGTACTGAGCGCTGCTGGCAGATTCGGGGCCGCGCCGTCATGCAAGTGAGACGCCTCCCCCTTGCCCAAACTGTGGAGATTCTGGTGAAAGGGATATTCGACCCTTGTTAGACCCTTCTAGCAAAACGCTATATGGGACATGTTTCCAAAAGGCAGCCACCATATTCTAGTATGGTTCGATGTGGGCAAGGAGCTCCTCAATAATGCCCCCTAGAGGCCAACATCATCCTAGAACATACGGCTTCAACCTACTCGTTGCTTTTTCAGAGCTTCCGCATGAAACAATTTCGGGAGCATGACAGAGGGCCTCACGAAGCAAAGCAACACTTGAAAACAAACCAAGACGGCCCACATGGGGGCCCCAAAAAGTCGCAAGACGTTTTCCAGGAGGGCTCAAAAAGGCCAAAGAACGGGGTGCCATAACTGCCCGAGAGAGCCTCAGGACGCGTCACTATAGCACGAGAGGGCCCGAAGAGCTCCGAACAAACAAAAACCCGATGACGACCAACATGTGCGTATGGGTTCACAGTGCAAGTACGGAGCCCCCGATCCGTAGGTAGAGAAAGGAGGGGAAGATAGGGAGCTGTTCGTCCTGTGCGATCAGCGTCCTGATCCACGCCAATACCTTGAGCCAAAAGGCGAGCAAACAGGCGAGTGAGAAATAGAGATGAGGGTATGCGACGGTTTCCGTTCACACCTCCCGTCCCGAACCCCGCCCGCAAGGCAGGACTCGGGAAAAGGAAGAAAGAACCTGTCACCCTCTTACTCCTCAAAGTGCACAAGTAGCAGGGCGCAAAAATATGTAGCGCCTCTGCTACGTCCCGAACACATCAGCAGTGCGCAAAAGTATATAGCGCCTCTGCTGGTGTGAACGGGCAGGGCGAGGACGACGGAGCACCCAAGTGTCCATAATCCTTTCCGAACACACTTTGGTGCCCCTCGATGCGCCCCCCAAAAAACGCTTCGGCACTCGAGGATGGAGAGGAATGGGGCACGGGTGAGCGGAGCAAGAGGACCTGAGCAAACTATAACAACATCAAAAGCCGCTGCGTCGAGGACACAGCGGGCGTTGCCATCGGCATCGAACTAAAGCTGGGCATCATATCGTACTCCAAGCTTCCTCGTCTGTAATACGGGAGCTGTCGCACAGAGGAATCAATCGATCAAGATGAATTCAGCGTCGTGTTGAAGAACACGAACAGTTACATGGACAAATTCTGCACTGGGTGAATCACCTCGGCAGAGCTCCTAAGGAGCGCGCCTCGGATTTCACCACTATGTGTATAAGAAACCACTTTTCGTATATAGCGAAGTGGCTACAAGTTTGTGTGCGTGTTCACTGCTCGGGGCGAACTCTTGAAAGACGAAGTTCAAGCAAACTCGAGCCGTGGGCCTCGCGGCCGACGTTACTAGGCATTCCCACGCAGGTAGAACTCGCTGGCCCAAACACGACGGCCATCGATTCCAATGAAGCTCGTCATATATGCTGCCCAAGTGGTCCTTGGGTGCCAACTGCGGAATCGAGGATTGTACTGCAGGTCGCGGATGTAGACGAACTCATCGCTGTTCTCCGCGATGTACATCCAGCAGTTGTTGTGGTAGCTCCAGTACCGGGTCCCCCACTGGCTGCCCTCGAGGTGTTGGCGCTACCGCGCCGCGTACTCGTCGGCGGTGCGCGCCCGCTTGGCCCGCGGGGGCGTCGCAGGGGCGCGGGCGCCAGCGCTGCTGCCAGCTGGCTGCCAGCCGCTTGGCTGCGGGGCGGCAGCGGCGTCGCCGCGCCGCCCAGCGGACGTCGCTGCCAGCGCGCCAGAGGCGCGGGATCCAGCAGCGTCGCCGTGGGCAGCGCGAGGCGGCGGCGCCATGGCATCGTGTGTAAAAGGTGTATGTGTGGGGGTGGTATCAGGACCGGTTCCTACCCCTGAACCCTTCCCCCCATGGCCCTTTGATCCCAGGGCAGGTCCGACAGAGGCACCTTTGGCAAGATTACGACGCGTGGCCCGGTCATAAGTGCCGTCCCCACGGGGAACGGCAATTGTGACCAGACCGCGTTCTTGACTAGTGCTTCTGTCCATTCTACCTCATTCAACCACCAATTCCTACGACCGGCGAGGCCAAGTGTTTGGTTGCGGTAGTGAACACTGCAAGCCTCCCACATGTCTTCCTCGGTCCAGGGCACCTGGCCGACAGCCTCACGGGCTCCGGTCATTTGGTAGTGGAATCAGGATTCATTGAGGAAGCGCTGAAGAACGTTACGGGAAGGGTGGTACAATGGGCGGTCGTCTGATCCTCGGCCTTCTTCGCAATGATCCTCAATCTATTACGCTGCTGACTAATAGCCGAACGCTGTCCCCCGAAGTAGATCCTCGCGCCGCCTGAGATGAGGCGGGCCATCTCGTTGTGGGACAGGTTGTTCCTGATCCACTGGTTGAGCTCCTGCAGGTACGCGAGGTCGGCGGCCTCAGCGCCACCAAGTCCCGTGGCACCTACAGAGGTGCTGTATTGCCAGCATGTGTCACATAGAGTGCCGTTGTTAGTAAGGATTCCCAGGGACAGGAAGCGACTGCAGTTGCTGCGTCGATGGATATCATGCTGGAGTGCCTCAGGGGCCCTGGTCGAGACCAGATCCCCAAGGCTGCCCCAGCGGGTGTTGCCACGGGCTCCTGAAGCAAGAGAATGACCTAGCTGGTTCATTGCCTCGCGATTGAGCTCTGCGGTGGCTCGGGAAGCGACCGATCGTCCGACTCCCTCGATCTCAGTGAGCGATAATCGATCGCCGGGTGATCCAGTGTACTCGGTCGATCCGATATCCGATGCGTCTAGGTTCCCGCAAGTCTTGGCCAACTCTGCGCGGATGCGCGCAGCTTCTTCCTGAAGGGTAGTCTCGTCGTCGGACTCCTTGCGGTCCAGATTCTTCTGCTGCGCCAGGACCTGCACCATCGTTTCTTGATCTCGGGCTGCCGAGGCAACACTGCCTGGGTCCTGTGGTATCTCGAGGGGAGCATCTTGCATGGCAGCGCCTGGGCCACCCAGGCCAGGCGCAGCGGGTGTTGCCACCGGCTCCTCCCACAGAGGGAAACCTGGAGATCCGTGCTTCCTCTCACATTCTGTGTAGAACGATCGGAGCGCTGTGAGGGCTGGATGATGAGCGTTAGTGGAGACCTTGTTAAATCTGGTCAGCTCTTGTATGCCCTCCAGCAGAAAGTGCTGGTATACTTTAGAGATCCACTGGAAGATCCCTGTGGTGGTACCCTGCACGGAC